TGTGGTCATTGTCTTGACATGAAGCCCTTTAATGTTGAATAGGTATGTCACTTATGCTTATAGTCAGAACGCATGGACGGCACTGATTGGTTTTTTGGTTTTCTTGACAAAGTATAACCGCCCACACTCACAGTTCGAATGATGTTGTCATATAATTCTTTTCTGATCTGATCTAAATGTTTGTTTTGTTTGATTTACTTTATTGTTCAGTTTGATGTTTTTTTTTTTTTTTTCGTAGTGTAACATTCTAATCCTTCAATTTGTAACTTCCCTATGTATGTAATTTTTAGCCCTGAGGAAGACTAAATATATAGTCGAAACGTAGGCTTTTTCAAGAAAATAAAGAGTTTCTGTTCACCGTCCCAAACCCGCTAAACTTGACACCAGTTTTCATAAACCAGGGACGCTAACGATGAATATTAACTGTAGAGTTGTCGCAATATGTTTTCTAAATTTTGTTGAAGTTAATAGCTTGGGATAAACAGCCCCAGAATTTTCAGCCAAAGATCTAATAACTTTTGTGCCTAACATCCATTTATCTTTTGAATTAGGATTGGCAAACAAATATGAATTTGAATGAGGAACGATTTCAGTGGTTTTTCTAATATTTATCAAACAAGATATATATTTCTGTATTTTAGGAGAAAAAAGTATTGGCACTGGTTTTGAACCTTTTCCTCCTGTTACAACTCTCTTAAATTTTTTGCTAACACTTTGTCTGTAGTAGTAAGTGACTCAGTGAAATCTTCCTGATCAATCCTCTGATTTTCTCTTGCATAACAATTAATTTTAAGAAACTGCACATCTCCTACCCTTTTTCTATTGAAGATAATACTTTGAGTAAGTACACACTCAGTKAAAACTTTATAACTCTGTACATCTAACTTGTTTTTTAAATTTTYATATGCCTKGTCAGCGAGGTCATTAATGTAATTTTGAAACAAAAGTATATCGCTTGTTAAAGGTAATTGTCCAGTTTTTTCCCACTGTCTYTCCTTCAGTGTTTTTAATGCCARGCATGAAATTTCGTTACACCAGTGGCTTTCAATTAATTTTTTTAAATCTTTGATCTCGCATTTMYTTTTATCTCTGTTATCCCAAGTTACTCCAGGGAGCACTCGTTTTTCAATAACTATTTTAAATGCTACATTGCACATTAATTTTAAGTTTGTTCCCATATGTAATGCTAAAGAAGGTGCTCTAAAACTTTTTTCTTTTTTGTTATATCCACTGATGATTCGAGCTGCAGATAAAAGGCTACCAAACATTTCTGGTCTAAGCACATCAAAGAAAGAAGTAACATTTTCATTCGTTGTTCTTAGAGTAATGAGCATTCGTCCCATTTCTCTGACTTGATTGGAAATGAGATTCGCTATCTGCTGTCTTTTATGCCTTACCAGAAGGCTTTCACCATACCAGCAAATCAATGCATCATTTTTAGCTACTTGGCTTATATTATCAGCTCTCATTTTACTAAATACTTCTTCCTTTATACAAGCTGTTCTCAAAAAATTTTGATTTTTGGAGATATGCTGGCCATAAAAGTTTGAGACTGACAGACAACCTTTACCGGCATTTTTGGTATCAATTGGTTTATTTTTGCAGGTTTTTACATGCTTATATAAAAGTTTTTTCGAATAGTGCCCTAAACAGAATGAGCATATGGCGTAATCAGCATTACGGTCTTTGGAAGATCGGACTGGATTTAGTATATTCTTTTCGACGTTTAGGTGAAAATAGCCTTGTTTACGCAGAAGAGCAACTAAAGACAAACGCTCTGAACTGCCAGGTTTTAGACTCTGTAGTAATTGAACATCTTTATGTTCTTTGTGATGTCTGAAGAGATGTCTCGGAAAGTGAGTAACAACATCATGAAAACAAAAAGGACATAACGTTGGCCTTTCT